CTGGGAGAGAGACTGCCAAGGGCCTGGGTGCCGCTGTGCCAGCACCCAGCCACAGCAGCCCCTCCTGGCAAGACCCAGGAGCCTGCTCTGAGAGGGGCAGCTCCCAGGTTATTAAACAAGGTCAACACCATGAAAATCAAATGCACCTAATAAAGGTATATTGCAAAGCATTAAGCACTTCTCCTTACAAAGAGAAACCAAGCTTCCTATATGCCTTCAGTTACCCTGACAGTAAGTACGCCCTTCTCCACCTACAGAAAACCCAATCATTCTTTATATTAAAAAGTACACTTTACCGAGTTGTGACGAAAGAAAAATTGTTTTGTGCAAGAGAGATCTGATAACACTAAGAAAACATTGGAAAAAATTCACATTTTTGACCAAAGTTGATATTACTTTAAAAGATCTGTACCGCAAACTGGGGTCTGAGCTTCCCAGGTTGAGCAGAGCAATGTTCAGCAGCGTTCCAGGGACGTCCTTGGGGCGGATTTTAGTGTGCTGTGGGATGGAGTCTGGTTGTGACAGCTCCCACCGTGTCCGTATGTGAATGATGGACCTAACGATGGCTTCACACTCCTGGTGCATGAAGGTGAGTGGTGTGCCTTGGTTGGCAATGGTTAAGGTAAACTGGTTCTCATCAACAAGACATATTTCCTCAATTTCAGAGGCATAGTATATATCATTTAAAAATACTGTTTGTCCCAGGACTCTTGTTCGTTCTGCTGACGTCACCTGCACAGCCGTCGATCCAACCTTAGAAAGAGAACAGAAAAACGACTCAGCACTGATTGCTAACAACACAAAGAGAGAAAAGTCTGACACTTCTAATTTTACAAAGATAAATGTATGAAATTTTATACTTCCTGAAGAGGCATACTAGTAATTTGTGGTTTCTCGTCAAGACAGCAGAGGAGAATTGAGAGACAGTAAATTCATATTCAAATCCTTATAAAAATATAACAATTAACGAGGAACAGCATTAAAAGGACTTACTTTAATAGAAACTTTGGTGTCTTTATGAGCCAGTTTGAGAGCATTGTGAAATACTTTCAAGTCCTCCTCCAAAGCCAAGGTAGCTGCTGGGAGTTTCTGCTGGTCGTGTTCGATGTGCTCTGCCAGTTTCCCCGGACAGTCTATGAAAATAAGCCTTTTGCTTCCTTTCAAACCTGTCAAGAGCCTTTCATGGTATTTGGTGTATTCTCTGACCCAAGAGTTACAGTTATAAATAAAAACTGCTGAGACATTTTCATAAGCAAAGCCTGGAAAAACTACAAACCATTTAGAAAGAAAGTCTGTTTTAAAGCGGTTACTGGGGCCGGCGTGTGTGAGGTCCACTACAATTTCATATGGCTTTGCATAGTATGGCTTCAGAGTTAGCAGCACGTGGTAGATCAGTAAATCTCCATTGATCTGACCAGTCTTGAACCTGTAAGAAAACCAGACAGACGTTGTTGGGTGGGCATTTCAGATCCATGTTACAAACGTCCGAGTGGTGCATTACACGTACTACTCCTACATTAAGCCACCCCGATCTTTCACACACTTCTAAAAATACCACCAGTCCAAAGCAGTGACCCCGGACTGGCAGCTAGAGCCTAGCGGCATCTGTTACTGCGCTGCCACGGCTCACGCTCCAGCCAAGGTCAGTGCCCAGCACGATGAAGCTTGACTTGGGATTCACCTCAACCTCATTTCGAAACGTCACGCCACCCACCACAGCCAAGCAACCTCCAGACAGACAGCAGGTTTCATCGACCACAAGGAAAAATAAAACCCATGCGGGAGAGCAACACTGCATCAATTGGATCAAAACTGGATTACAGGAAAAGAGATCAGAGTTTCTTTAAAAATGAATGTAAAGTGTAAGTCCCTCAAACTAACTTATTAACCTCTCTAGAGGTTCAAATAAGATCTATTTTTATATGTGGAAAAATACTTTTATTTCAGAAGTCCTAATTAAGACTAGTTAAGTGTCCGTACAGCAACTTTTTCAAAGGGTCTTAAACTCCTTTCGTTTGCCATATACTGCAGCATGCTCTCATGCTTGCTGGAGTGCTTCTAGGCACAGCCAGTACTCCAAGTGGTACAGAGGATCTCTCTGCAAAGCAAGTCCTTCCAGAAAAACATTCAGATAATACACAAATATTAAGAACCATTTGTTCTCGTTTAATCATTCTCTGAATTTTATGAGAACGGACAGCGCATCTGCTTGAACCAAGTCTCCAGAGTTAGAATAGCAGACAAAATTCTGCTAGGAAGAATCAATCAAAACTCAAACTCCGCCGCAGCCCGAGAACATCCAAGATGCTTTCAAATACCCATCGCTGTTTCAAGCTAGCATTAACTCAACTCTTCCAAGGCAAACCAACAGGCTATGGAAAGAGCTAATAAATACTGTCCGCACGTATGTAGCTCTGCGCGTACTGGGACACTGCTCTTGGTAACATCTGACGTAAACCACCTGAGCGCAGGATAACGGAGGGGATAAGTTTCACGAACGCAGAATATCAGTCTGCCAAAGGCACTTTTTTTCTTCCCTGTTACTTCCTGTTATTCTGAGTGCTAATTTGGGCAAGTTGGTGTTTTTCCCCCTCTAACGTCTCACAGTAGAGTTGTTACAGAAAGGAAGTGTGTCATCTCTGTGGTTTTACTTCTCCACTTAGAGTAAAAGACGTATAATTTCTGTTACAGATTTGCTTAAAAAATACCAGCGTTGTCTAAACCTATGTGCTTTATGTTAACGGTCATTTGCATCCTAAGAGCAAACACACGCACAAAGCAATTTTATTGTTAAAGGACTAAATATCTGAAACACCAACTCTCCTTTGACTACATCTTGGCAAGGTAAGTGCACATTTTCCTTCTCGCATTCTAAGTTCCATTTCAGAGTTTCTTAGATTTTGTAGAAAATTAAATGCCAAAGTATTGTTAAAGAAGTTTAAGAAACTAAAGAACAGTAATCTGTAAAAATCTCCAGCTGAATTAAGGAAGCCGATGTAACTGTATTTTTAGTTGTGTTAAAGGTTATTCCTAATCAGACTCCAAAGAATTAACAGTGACAGTCGCTGCTTCGCTCTGCTGCTGCTCTGTCCTGCAGATCTTGGTGTGCACTGATAGCAGACCCTATCAATACCCAGGCACCAAGGGTTGAACCAAAAAAACACCAAACCAGCTCTTCAACCATCAGTTCCTTTGCTCTCAGGGTTTTCAGAGAAGCCCTTAACAACATCAGTTAGGTTATTTTTTAAAAAAGCACATCTGGTCTAGATGGCTACAATTAACACTGGACTTACTGTGTTCTTGGAGGGAGTGGGCAGAGAGAGGAGCAGCTCTCAGACAGTAACATTAAATGCTGGAGTCTACCTGTACCAGCAAATGTGTCTCTGTTCTGCATGGCATGCAGAAACTTTCTGTGAAATGCTCTTATGATTCAAAAAAAAAAAAAAAAAAAGGCTTTGCTTGTTTTGCTCTTTTCCTTTTTCAAGTATGCTACAAGGCATCCTCCAGGCAACCTTTACCATACAAGATAAAAATTCTATCTGAGCCATAAGATGGTTTCTAGTTCCAGCTTAGCAATAAGGATCCATCTCAGAATGGGGTCCAATGTTCTGTTACGGGTGAACAGCAGAGTGAAAGACAGGCATATCTTGCGTGGCTCCTCCGGCACGCTCCCCGGGGACACACCGGGCCCCAGCTTCTCTCCTGGTCCTGGAGCACTTGGCCAACGGAAGGGCTGCGTCGGGATGTCGCAAGAGAGGCAAGTTCACCCCTCTGATTTTTGGGAGTGACAACAGTAAGTTCTTCAGTAGGCATGCTAACTTTTGGCTATGATCAAAGTAAACATTGCCTGGAGCATTTCCAGATTACCTCACCTTGCAAACATAGAGCTATGCTTTGTTACCTTTAAACCAGTAGCTTCAAGAACAACTGTATTTATAAAAATAGCCGCGTTACTTTTGGTCATTCTCTACAGCAGTATTTACATTTGAACTACACGTAGTCTGTAGCACCCAAAGGAAACAGTTTGTTCTGTTAATAGAGACAGATGACAGAGAGACACTGGAGGGGACAGTAAGTGTCTCACACGTGCAAACCAGACGAAGCCGCAGCAGTGAAGCAGTCCATGACTCGTCTGATCTGTCGCTGTGATTTTGAGGTTATTGTCTCTGGATCAGACTGACCTAAAGATCAGTCTCCTGCCCTCCGGACAAATTCAGCAGGTGCAAATTTGAATACTACACAAATGTGAAACAGAACATACGAATGGTAATTCATTTGCAAAACGATCTCGGGCGTTTTAAAGAAAATGCCACAATCTGTAGCACGTTTGTGAGAAAAATTTTGAGAAGTACATTTGTGATAAACAGCCTTCTGTACAATAAAACAGAAAAATTAGCAAACAAAGATTCTCCTAGGCATTTATGAAATACTCCAGACAGCTGTGCTAAGAAATACAAACAATTAAAATAAGTTACAGCTGTCACTTACAGGAACATTTTTGATTAAAGCTTTTCACTCGACCATCTCTACAAGCAGGGTTGCATCTCCCACAATCAGGGCCACGCAGGAAAGTCAGAAGCAGTAATTCGTAAACTTGACATGGGTTTCTGCTTTCACTGTGTAAAAGCAGAAGTGATGAACTTGAAGTTGTAGTATGGCCAGCTTTAAAGAGGAGGAACTACCACAGAGTCTGCTTCTACACCAGTGAGTCGTTAGTAGGAAACACTTTTCTTTCTCTCTTTGCTCCATGTTCTTTTATAATCTGCACATATTTTCTATAACCTCAAACTGTCAGAAGCTCGAGACAACCTATTATTTCAGAATTCCAAGTACTTGAACTCTTCCCCCTACATCCACTAAAAATGAGGTCAAGTTGCATATTCTTCATCAAAAAGGCTGCTGCCTACTATTGCCCAAGAAGTCCAATTCAAACCTCTAAGAACTAGCATTCGCTAAACTAATACCGTGATTTGTATTTTTGCAGGTGACTAAATAGGAAGATGAAGACAAAGAGACATAGTAAACCACACTTCGCCTTCCCTGTCGGGATAATCTTTTCTTTGTGTTTGCAAACAAGTGCAAACCATACCGGCTATCCTAGGGTTATAAACCAAACCTGGAGTCCTATCAGCCAAAACCTAAGTGGAAGCAGGAACATAACAGAAGTCAACACAAATTCTCCTCTGAGCACCAATTTCAGCAGCAAAACATCTACTTTTGAAATGCAGACAGCTACCCTGCAATCCTTATCTTCAACAAGGGGCCAAAATTCAACATCTTCCCCTGCCAGAAGTGCTGTTTCTGCCAGTGGAGAATCTAGGAATACCAGCAAACCCAAGAATACGATGACAAAAGAAACATGTGAAGACAATAAGTCTCTTATATTGATTTGCTTCATTGTCATAGCAGTACTTGTGCTTATCTGCATCTTCTTACTTCTGTTGACAGTGGTAATAGCAAACAAAATGTCATATCTCAAAAAAACTAAGCAAGGAAAACGTAGGCCCAGGAGCAACGGCCATATCCTGGCAACCAACAGTTTATGGCCAACTGCAGCAGGAACATGGCAGCGGATGCCCAAGGAGACAACTGGAACCAACTTGGTAATGCAAGATTTCATATCGGGGAGAGATGCTGTGATCCAAAGCAAAACTGAAGACGAAGCTACTGAGAAACTCACAAAAGAAACAGATAATGAACAGGAAAACAAAGGTCCAAAGTTACACAAACCCATTTTAACCAATTTTGTAGTTGAGATTTAATTCATACAAAACTCATCTTCTGCCTTTTTTACGTCATTAATATATGGCAAAAGCTTAGCTTTCAAGCAATAACATGAATTCTAACACAGGAAAGCTAAATTCAGATCTTAGTTTTCCTTTTCTGACAGTGGGAATGCTGTAGCAACTTGTAGATCTAGAAGGGAGTAAGATGGTGTTAAATAGCTTTCTATAAATAGTGTCAAGAGTGGTTTTACTCCTTTGACCACAAATCACGGTGATAGGAGCTGAACAACAAAAGGACAGAAGCCTGCCCATTCTCAAAGACCATTAGGGGAACCGAAGGAAAGGACGGTTAGCCTAATAAATAAACCATACCATAAGGTGCTACACAGGTAGAACCAAGTTGTTTTTTTAAGAAAATCATAACTGAGTCACAATTTTGATGCAATTAATGAATCAGGAACCAGTCCCTCTCAAAATGCTCTTTCAAGTTTTTCTATCAAAAACTTTTTAAACCAGCTTAATCGCCTCTGAACCAGATTGACATTTGAATTATATTTATTGTGTTTTGACTCTGTGTATGAATATATGAAGTTTGTATTATATGTTAGGACATGACAACTGTTTCAATTTGTTATCTCCAATAAACTAGCAACATAAGTTTTTAAATAACTAGACTTACGTGATACTATTTCTCTAATCCAAAATATCACAAAAAATATTACACAAGGCGTTTTAGAATATTGTATTCCTATAACATCTGCTGAAAGTCAGTGAAGCTTTTCTGTGAGGACTAGCAGTGCTTTCTTGCATCACGGAAACACACTCCACTTTGTCCCAACACAACCAATTAGAACATGCCAAAAATGTCTTCAAAACCAACACAACTTTTAGTTTCTTTATTCTCATAGAGACCTGATTTTTCCCCTATTTCTGGGGAGCTGTCTATGTTTGGTCTCACTGCAGCAGAGCTTTGTTCTTTGAAGGAAAGATGTGAAGCTTTTCCCAGGCTACTTCTTGCGCTAAAGCCAATCTGTTGCACCAGGGTTACAAGCGCTGGACAAAGCTCTGAACACCCTGCGCGTCGGCAATAAACGTTTTTGACACAAGAGATGGCTCTATGAGTTTGAAAGAATCAGGACCTAAGACTGAATCCCCAGTTCACCCTCCATTACATCACCCATAAACTTCTCTGAAAGGGCACGTAAGAAGCAACAGAGAAACAAGACAACAGTACCATGGAAGCCAAGAGAGCGCAAGATCTCAAAAAAATGCAGCTGCCTGTGTCAAGTGGGTTTGTGTAGTAAGGAAGCTGAAGTTCGAAGGAGTTTGCAAGCTTGGCCCAGAACTGGGAGTCATTAGAACACAAGTTCATTGGAGATGGAGAAGAAAATAAAACCATCTACCAGGCAAATTCCAATGAATCTGCCATAAACCACAGATTCAGACCTTAGAGCTCAAGGGAGGAGGCACAACACAACACACCAGTAGAATGTGAGGACAGGGGATTATGTCAGACATTTTTAAAACATGATGAGAAAGGCCAGAAGAATAAGGGCAAACTGTGACAGATTGGTGATGACAACCCAGCAGTGAGAGGAGATGAGCTGACAGCATCTCACACTGGTGACAGTAAGGGAGCTGAAGGGCAGGGTTGGGGGATGCTGCATTGCAGTTACCTTCTGCCTCCCCAGAATGACCATATGAGCACGAGGCAACAGCAGAGGCTGTGCAAGTACTAAAAAAAGAATCTGAGCTAGCAAACGTGTGAATCTAACCTGGTGTAAAACTGCTCACAGCTATGGAGGCAACAGAACTAAACCAGGAGAACGAATTTGTATGGGGTAGACAGCCTCTGTACAGGAATACAGCAAGTTGCCAGGAGGCAGCAAATTAAAGAGGTAAACCAGTCACCGTGTCATGAAAAAAAGCAGGCAAAAAAAGGAAAGAATCATGATCATTATCAGTGGAAGGAAAAACAGGAAGGAAAAAGAACTGTCAACGAGGTGGGAACTGTGGCAAAAGAGGTGGAGAGGTGGAGACTCTGAGGGTTGAAAAGAATGTGGATGAGATGAAGAAATCAGACAAGAAACTGAGTTATAATGCGAGTGTGGGATCAGGATTTGTGTTTACTGCAGGGGTAGGGAGAGTCTGAAAACGAGAACTAGTGCAATCAGAAGACAGGCACAACAGGAAAAGCAGAAGGAGATGAAGAAGCTGCAGAAGAATCTGGCAGTAGTTCTTTGGCACTAGCAGAATACGCTTGCAAAATGCCGCAAGAACATATTTGTGCAGGTTTCTTTTTGTCAGGCAGCCTTTCTAGGCAAAAACGCTCAAGGAGACAAAGGAAAGTGGTTTGGGTGACACTAAATGGTATGGACAGAGACAGTGGGGAAACCGCTGTTCAGAGAGCACAGCCCCCCATGCGTGATGGCAGCGGGTACCGACGTCGTCCAGACAGAAAAGTAAGATGGAGAGTAGGAGGCAGGAGAAGGGCGAAATCCGTAGTTATCTGCCTTTTAATGCAACTACACAAATGCAGACGCGTAAGCGAGCCAGCATCCTGTGATCAGACAGCTTTTTCTGACTCACTGTAATGAACCTAAGGTTGATTTTTCCACTAATAGTCATGCCAGCGCACCAAACCCACCACTGAAATCAAATCAGTGAGATCCAAATCCCACCCAAACTTGCATATTTTTCGACTCGCACAGAAGTGACCGTAACTATTTGCAACAAAGACAGGAAAACGAGTATTTATGAATTTTTACATAGTATGCGCACACCAGACAAAAGCCACAAACATTTAAATAGTTGAGTTTTTACAACAACAACAGAGCTGAAAAGTTTGCTGCAAGCTCCGCGATAAGGCTCTCGGTGATCTCGCCCCTCGACGCTTCCTGCTGCGAGCGTTGGCACACTTCCTCCGCAGCTGCAGAAATCGCCTTCGACATGAAACAGGCCATTTTGAGCTGCTTGACTTTCAGCACACAGCCTGTCTCCCTAAGGCTTCACAGAAAAAAGTAAGACGATGCTTGCTTGACAGAAGATAAATGGGCAGGTAAGAATAACTTCAAGATGGAAAGGCTTAATATTTGTATTTTTTGGTTTGAACGGGAACTGCACTGTGTACAGCACTGTGTATGTCCTGATTTCAGGCTGTATTCAAAGCTCTTGTCGAATGTCTGTATCTCAGAACTATGAGGGTTTCAAACCCCTGTTGTTTGATGCTGTTACTATGAACTATCACAAACTCTACATTTAAGTATTATTTGGCTATCTTTTGAAGAGTGGAGCAGAAGCAAATGAAATGGAATCATTTGTACCTGTTATAAACCTTACAGAGCTTAGATCATAATGTTATCAAGTATCATTAATTTACTACACACAGGTGTTTACAGTCGCATCTGAAATTTAATTCTGCATATTTGTAAACCCATAAAGATTTATGCATATTAATTTCCCAGAAACAGCTTCACATGATGACCATTATAGTAACTAATAAATCAGCTCACATTGCGAAAGTCACTTCAGATATAAAAACCACTATGCAGTGGATGTGCTTTATGATTTGTTTCACACGGAGACATTCAGAGACCTGAACTCCAACCAGTACAGGGGGGTAGGGGAGAAATCTGTTTCATGCCAACAACTGCACATTAACACAACCTCCATCATTGCAGAAACTGTTCCACATGCAGGAATTTCTTTCTAAAAACAGTTTAACATTAGAATGCCGTTCCATTACAGCATCAGTATTTGGAAACTTTTTAAAAATTACTACACTCTACCCCTAACTGCTGAAGAGAGGCAAGGACAGGAAATCAAAGTTTAAAAGAACTGTAAAGAGCCCTTTACTTCGGTCTTGGCTGATACTCATCAAAACAAGACCATTTTCTTTACTTGTGACAATCCTTTTCGCCAACTCTGCTGCGAGTGTTTCACATTTTCTTCCAGGTCCATAACCATTTACATGACTGATAAATGCTGTTATTCTGAAACACGGTTAGGGCTTCTCTGCTGATACCTTTTTCTGATAGGGTAAAAAAAGTAATAATAATCAAGACCTTCTCTTCAAAGTCATTTAATTAGAATGATCAATAATGTTGAAAATCTGCCTGTTTGTAAAGTCAGCGACAAACCTGCTGATTATGCAACTCGAACAGACAAAATTCAGACATAGTATTAGCATAAAACTGTCTTGTGTCAGTAAAGTGTGACTATACCACAAATGCAGTTTTCAAGTTAATATCTTCTGTTTAATTCCTGCTATAGTAGAGGACATATTTAAAGAGGCTGCAGGAAAATGGCCAGCAACCAAGTAATTCTGTTTCTCTTCTATGGAGCAATCTGGAAATCACTTTCTACAGCAATACCTCAAAACGTTTCCATGAATAAAAGAAACATATACACCAGTGTCAGGAGTCCAGCAGAAGACAGGGATCCTCTATATCAGCCGCAAGCAGCCGGACTCGGTTTACACAAATCTGGAAGAGCACTGACTATCGCACCACCCCAGTTCCCCAAAGCACACCCAGAACCCAGTGATGGCAGCTGGATAGCAGCGCTGATCATTGGCATCATTTTGACTAGTATGATAACTGCTATCATTGTAATTCTTCTGTGGAAATGCTGCAAGAGGCCAGTTCTCGTTGATTCAAACTGGGCAGGTCGTTCTCCATTTGCAGATGGAGACACACCAGATGTCTTTATGGACTCTGACCAGTCTACCAAACGTTCATCGGTTTTATTTATGTTGCCTTGGAAATTGAAACCAGACACAAACTCACAGCAGGATCCCACCGCACCAGAGAAACCATCCCACAGCCCCACCAGTAACGATGCCAGCCCACTGCCTCCACCAGCAGAAGACTGCTCTGCAGCCAGGCTCCCCAGTTCCAGCCCGGATGCACCTCCAGCTCCCACCCCAGAAGCAGCGAGCTGTGCACGCGACTCCTGTCCTCACCCAGCCGCCTTCCCCGAAGCCCCAGATCTGCCGCCTCCACCCGACTGGCTCCAGGAACCCCCCGAAGATCACAGTTCAGATCTCAGCAGGTCCCAGGAATTTCGCTCAGAAACAGAGGAACAGTTGCCCCCCCCACCCGAGTTACTTATTCAAGAGATTCACGAATCACTGCCCCGGCTGTCGCAGCCAGAACACCCTCTGTAGACTGCCGAAACTGATTTCCAGCATACTTCACGTTTTCTTTAAACGAAGTATTCTTCAAATAACTAAAAAAAGCAGAAGCTGATGTAGGCAAGAACAGTGCGACCACAGCATGGGCATTTCCCCTGTGTTTCTTCACTTCAGCTTTCACAAAAGGGAACGACCTGCTTCTGCCTGAAGCAAATCATTTCAAGGCACAATGCAGGCTGTGCCCGCCGTGCACCTCTACCCAGGGACTGCGGACGCTGGAGCCCACAGCAAACAGAGCAGGCACACCTCTGTGCCAGCATACACCTGCGTGTAGCACACCCACCGGCACGGAGCTCTCACGGAACAGTACAGCTGCAGAGGTACTCGGATCTTCTAAACGTTGTTCCACTAGGTTGTGTAAATGAATGCTCATTGCATTAATTTTAATAAAGCTTTCTAATTCAAAGATGTTTTGGTTACTTAAAGCACAACGGAGCATTTGCTTACATACAAAGCTTCGAAGTCAAAAGCAAGCCTCAACGCCTCGACACGCGCACACACCGTCTTCCACACAAAGGCCCGTTTTCTGCACAGGACAGGGTAACCACGGATTACCGGTACCTGAAACAAACCCTCCTAACAGCCACCACTTGTTCTTTACTCAGAGCAACGAGATTTCCTTTAGATCAAATATTGCCAGAAAGTGCACTGGTGCCAAACCTCCAGCCGCTTCCCCCCACTGAGTGGCAAAGCAGCGAAGAGGGCCAGTGAACAGTTGATACAGCGGTCGCTAAAAAGCCGAAATGGCTCCAAACCCTTGAAGAACAAGTACAAAAAGGCTGCCTTTTACTGAGGTACTTTTGGGTTTTATGGATAAAACAGAAGTAGCTTGCAGAACACCCAGGCAAATGATTAGCAGAATTGGTTGGGCGCATTCATTAATTTCTTCCTTTGGAGCAGTATTCTGAGAATGCACTCAATATTATTAATACAAACTTTAAAAATTAATTTAACACTGTGTGGATGCCAGATTCCTTTTAACTCGAGGTGTCCAGGTGTTCTACACGTTCCTTTCTGGGCCCCGAGTGCAAGCGAAGCTCACTGTCCTGTCCAGAGCCGCGCGCTGTGCTAAGCTGCCTTTCTGGTGGGAACGAGGAGGGTGGTCTCAGAAGTCATTTTTTTTTTTTTTTAACCAGTATTCAATGTTTAGATTTATCGAAAGAAGCTGCTAGATGCTGAAGCCAGCTGTTCTACGACATCTCCGCAAAATGGCAGAGTTCGTAGTGTTGAGTTTGTTTGGCGAAGGAATGCATTCGTGGATGTTGCACTGAGCACATGCTCTCACGTATTGTAACAATAAACTCCAAAATCTTTAAATTACCACTAAAAATTTACATCAGTTATGCAGATGCAATTCTAGGCTGCTATACATACCACGGACATAGGAAAAGATATTTACAATTTTTTGTACTATTTACATACGCTGTGTGATTGCGTATGTTTAAAGAATAGCATTCCAATTACACAAAGATTTTTTTTTTTTTTACGGCTTTTTTTTTTTTTTACGGCTTGTTGCATTCCGCCATGTTAAAATTAACAGCATTATAAACTATACCCACTCTTGTCATATTGTTTGGAGAAATTCAGATATAAGATTTCCTACAGAAATCTGTAAAATCCTACAAGCTGAGCTATATTCTACCTGACAATACAGCGATAGCCTGATCTGAGGAGTAGAACACTGAACATTTCAAAAATTATGAAAATATATTCTGCCAGTGTAGCTGAAAAGCGCTTAAGATAGGAAGCCTAAATTAACATTAAACTTTATTACAGGAAGAGAGGTTAATCGAAGCTAAAAAGGAACACAAACTTCATGTGACTTTTTAAATAGGAACATTTAAATGGAACCACAGCTTAAGCTAAAATAGGCTACAGAAATCTCGTTCAGTACTGTTTACGCAGGCAATCGCACACATTGCGTTCGGATGCATTAACACAGCATAAAATACAGATCCAGAGAAGTTAACTGACTGACATGATAAACCCCAGTTATTTTACTGAGTATGCTCGCCGGGCAACCAGTTTGAGTCAGCACCCACGACAGCTCTGCAGTCCTCCCGTGTAGTGCAGATCAGGTGGTTGCAGAGCCCGGCTAGCAGCAATACGATGCAGCTGAAGAGGCAAGCACAACCCACAGACAGCAACTGTAGCTACTCTCCAGAACAAGACGACCTCTAAGCTCCAATCTTTCACAGAAATGATGCGCTGATATTGCAGAAGAGATTACGGTAAGTTTGTGTTTTTTGTTTTTCATCACAAAAACCTACTCCAAAATCCGAGGCAGAAATAAGAATGAAATTATTAGTTGATGACAGATGCTTGCACCAGAAATTTGCTGCAGTGTCAGAGACTTCTTACTAACATTAATTCAGCTTTCAAACATGTGTTACAAGCTCTGAGGATGTAATTAACACTATAATAAGGACAAATAACAATGTGCATGTTAGCATAAACATGAAATCTGGGTTTCAAACTAAACTTGTAACAATTTAGGATGTATTTTAACTGATTCTACTTAAGCAAATAGCATGCATGTATGGGGGGGGGACTGCTACATTGCTGCAGAGATTTGTAACGCAGATCCACTGGACAGCCATTTTTTTCATCCTGTATAAAAGAACACATTATTCCAAACATAATATAGGCTTGAAATCACTAAAAACAAGAAGCAGACATTGTATAACATTTGGAAGAGACTTGCATTTTCGGAAGAAAGCCCTCATTTGAGCTTGAGGGGGAAAGGGAGATGAAAAAACAAGTCTCATTTTGCCAGACAACATGACAGTCTATGAAGGGATGCTTTGTAAAGTCTCTCTCGAACAATTCTAAAAAGGACCGTGCCACAAAGGGCTTTATTGATGTTTTTACTTAATTTCTCCTGCAAGTAGTCATTGCAAAGACAACCCTTCTAAAGAAATAATATATTACATGGACTTTAAGGGTGTCATTTTGGTATATTTATTTTCAGGCAACAATGGAATACCAGATATTGAATACATCTACCGGTCTGCTGGTCCTTCTGTTTTTCATACCCACTGGTTCGGGTATCTGTCCTTCTAACTGTACATGCTCAGGAAACGACAGGAATGTGGACTGTTCAGGCAGAAACTTCACCATACTGCCACACGGACTTCAAGACAACATTACATATTTAAATCTGTCCTTTAACCAGTTCATAGATCTTGATCATCAGCTAACCAGATTCACCAATTTGAGGACCCTTGATATTTCAAATAATTGGCTCAAGAATGTTCCTGCTCATCTGCCCAAGTCCTTATGGGAATTATATGCCACAAATAACAACATTAAAGTTCTTCAGAAACTCGACACAGCTTACCAGTGGAACCTTAAAGTGCTCGATGTTTCCAGGAATATGGTGGAAAGAGCTGTTCTGATCAACAACACACTGAGCAGCCTCAAGTTTCTCAATCTCAGCAGCAACAAACTTTGGACAGTTCCAACCAACATGCCCTACAACATCGAGACAGTGGATCTATCCAATAACTTCTTGTCCCAGATACTTCCAGGAACACTGCTGAGACTACAACACCTTACAAGCCTCTACCTGCACAACAACAAGTTCACGTACATTCCTGACAAAGCTTTCGACCAGCTCTTTCAGCTGCAAGTCGTAACACTGTATAACAACCCATGGTCCTGCAGCGACCAACAAAATATCCCTTATTTGCTTAAATGGGTGCAGGGAACAGCTGCCAGGGTTATTGGGGCTCCCTGTGCTAACCAGTCCGTGCTTTGGCTGAATGCCACACCATCCTCAGCGGCTCCCATGGACCCCAGCCTCATGATCAAAGGAATGAAGGCAGCAGAGAAGGCTACTCCTCCAGGGGCAACCGAACCAACCAAAGTGACAAAAATGCATAAACAGTTGAAAGCTAAGGAAGTTACTAGCTTGGCGACCTTAAGCCAAACTGTCCTGCTTACGAGCACAGACCGACCCCTGCTCCTCTACCCAGAAGATCGGACAAGCAGCAAGGTTGGTTCCCAAGAAGCAGCCGCCACACACACAATCTACGTCAAAGATTCAACCGAGGTGAACTCAAGCCTGACTCGTTCAACAGGATCATCCACTACTCCCATGACTTTAAGCATCACCAGTGGAATGCCAACAAACTACTCCAAAATGCCTCAAAGCACAACTGCTACCTTAAGAAAAGAGGAATCCACTACAAATATTTTGAATACTCGCGTGCCCTCCAAAGCAAGTATCTGTGAAACATATTTGTTTTATGTTGTGATGCTTAATGCAGTGGCAATGTTTATTGGCTAAGGGCTTGTTTCTCGTGAAAACTGAGTTTATTCCTGTGATACATAGCTGGAGTTCAGACATCCAGATGAAATAATGAATCAAAATACAAGAAATTTGAAGTTCTGACTCTGATCTAAAGAAAATAACATTTCTTAAATAAGTGCAAACTAATGTCTTGATACTAAGCTGCTACTTATTTTAATATGTCTTGAGTAAAACTAACCTATGATTTTGTTTTTAAAGATGTGCTTATTTTGTATTTAAATTTTTAATTTTACTTGCACAGAATAAAACACCAGAATTTTAAGTACTGATTTTATGTATAATTTTGTCATTAAACAACTGGGAAAAAACAGCAGGCCTGTATCATATCTGCATTGTCTTGCTTGACTTGCCAGTGAGCAATTCTTGTAAAATAGCAGCACAGATTCTTTGTAAGTTATGACAACATGCAAAGGAAGGGAAAAAATAAAGGAACTAAACCTAGCTGTTTCACTAATCAGAAGTTATTCCTGAGAAAAATCGCTAGCATGTGTATCTATGTTTGCTTCACATGTATTAGGATATTTTAAATATGAAGAACAAGTTTTGAATTTAGGAATTAAATACGACAATGCCATGATGTCTGCTAAGAGGGGGTAAACCGAGAAGGCACGGTCCAACTTCAGCATGGGAAAACTGGTAGGGGCTGATATCTCTTTTTGCTCTGTCTTGACTTCGAGACCGCAGGCAAGTTATTTCTCACTCTCCATATTTAAAAAAAAAGATAAACGTAGAGCAAAATACAAGATGTTCAATGCCATGCCACTCTCCAACAACAAGGAGTTACCTACACAAATTAATGAAATGGAATGCCTTATTTCAAGTGACATCCAAAAATCCGAATTGTTAGAATATTATCCTCAAAACAGTATGACAAAACAGCCAGAATGTATCAAACTACTACTTTTTAATCAGTAAAACTAACTATCAGCCAACTTCTAATGCAAGTTATGTAACAAATCAATTAAGCAATTAGTTCTCAAGCTGTCACTGAAACAATCCTTGAATATGGTGACCTAAACAAAAAAAAAAAAAAATTTAATTCACTCCATGGCATTGAACATGCCCAAATCCTTGCTTTATCAGGATGAGCATGAATGCTATTCTCCTTGACATCCGCACCATCAGTGAGTAGAAATAGTTGCACGCATGGTTCTGTCCACTCTAGGAAAATAATCTAAACTACGTGGCAAAGGTGCTCGATATACTACAGATGAAGTTTTGCAAACAGCATGAAACGAAAACTGAAGAACAAGTTCACTGCAAAAGTATTACTCACTTAGTATTGCAGATCTTTATACAATGTTTTCCATTCATTTCAGGCCATTTAATTTCCAGTTCTTGTAGCATGAAGGTGCTGCAAAACCCAGAAAACCTCACTACCGAGACTGGAGTCCTCCACCTACTTCTCCTAGGTGTCCATGAGGGCTGTAGACCATTTACAACCACTGGTGTCAGAGAAATCACAGCTTTCCAATTGTGAACAGTATTTCTACAACCAGAAATGTATTTTACTTTCTAACAGTAAATGTTACACAATGAATTTGTACAGTTATTTCATTGGCATTTAAGCAAAAATAAAGTTACGTTTGTATTGAACTGAATTAGTGACAGTGCCTCTTTTCAAATAAGCGCAGTAATATCACTGAATAGATAATATTTTATTACACAAACCTATTTCAAGCAGACATTTGGCTTAATCCTCATGTCTTACGGGGGAAAATGATGGTTAAATCAAATTATATTATTTTGATACTGGTGTATCCCTAATACTGTTTATTAATAAGCTGATGAGGTAGGGCCTGCCCTTCCCCTTCCTACCCTTTAGATCCTGCAAACACCTAGGGCATATCTCTGCCCATTAGAACAGCTAGCTCCTTCTCCCTCTCAAAAAATGACTCTCCAGGTTTAATAGGACAGAAAACTTGAGAAAAGAAACACCCTAAAACCAAAGACCGACATTTCATACATACATTTTCGGTATACAAGAACTAGTTATCCAAGTCAACGTGCAGACGACCTAGACCACAAGCAGTGTGTCCCCGGCACCTCCAGCAGCCAGCACGAGTGCCTCACCATGGAGTGGCTACCAGCAGTCTGAAGGAGTTGCCCACCTGCACCAGGTCCGTATATTGTCCCCAGGTTAAATAACGTGACACGACCTGATGAACCCCACTAACTAGGATCAGTATTCAAAAAATGTCACTGCCTGCCACTCTCTTTGGATAGTCAATGTATTTGCTAAGCACTGACTGACGCTAAAACAGTGTCAACCTACTTAGCACATTCAGAACCAGACATTTCCTAGAATTATCCCATTCTTATGGTTTCATCCCACACAGTTTAAATCAGCTTAGCTTGCAAGGTAGGACAGAGATCACAAAATGAGGTTTATGACTAAACTGCCTTGAGTTGAGGAAATTACATGAAATATTGCACGTCTTCACTGAACAATTCAATACACGATGCCAAATTCTACTGCACGCAAAAAAACCTACGTGGATTCAGCTTTAAAAGCTCTGAGAACGTTTCATCCATAATGAGACCATTCAGTGAACAGCAGCTCGATGGAAACTACTGCTTTCCCAAAGTTGTTCAGGGCAAACGGCAAGTCCCCAAACCAAATAACTTCCTACCCAGACTTTGAAGTCTTAAGCATGCTGATAAAGGCCTGGAAGTGGAAATGGGGCTGTGGGGTTTTCCAACTACACATACAGGATTGGGAAGCTAGGAAACAAAAAAAAAAACCAAACAAACAAACAAAAAAAAAAATCACAGAGCTGGCACTCCCAGATTCTAGGGCTGTGCTCTCTGTCCAGACCTTGCCTGTGCTGAGTGCAAGCAAGAGCGATTCTTAGTCACGCTGCTTTCAATAAGGCAGACTGAAATTCAGGTTTCCTTGTATTTTTCTGGAATACAAATGAGTTGATAATGGAGCAAGGAGTAGGCAGACAAATGTGGGAGTCATGCACTTGTTGCTTGGCAACAGTGCAGTCAAATTGAAATAAAACTGATAAGCATGGATGTGAACAAGACAGCACTGGTTTATGTTGTTTTGAATATGCTGGTCATTCAATCCATGACAAATATAAAACAATTGATTCTCAGAGAAATTGTTTTTTCCAAAATAACTATTTACCATTTCAGCACAACATTCAAAATACCCAAAAAAGGTCTAGCACACCTTGTAACAGCGGTACGGTTGCCTTTGAAAGGTTAAAATTGTTGTAGGAATAGCTGCGGTCTGAAGCAATAACTTAGAGGTTTGCATTCCTATTAATTAGTTTGGCATCAGCTTTAAAACTTAATGGCAGTACTTCAGGATCAAGATTTATTCATTTATTGATCACACTAGTAACAGTGTGGGGATTAAAAATGAAAGAGCACTGGCTTCAGAAGTCACGTTGTTGCCCAGGAAACAAAATGTGAAGTAAAATGACAGCAGGGATTAAATTTCACAGCACAAGAAGGATATAAACTGATCCAGATATATCAGTAAAATGACTCAACAATGCCCTAGCAACAAGATCTCAAACTACCAAAAAAACCCCAAACCCACAAAAAAACCCCCAGCCTGCTGCAAGCTCTCAAACACCCTGGCATCTCCAACCTAAGCAGTCTTTCCACATTTCACACCTTAAAAAAGGACACCCGGCTCAGAACCACACGACAAACACCCCAAAGAAGCACCCTTTAGCCACCTCCCTTTCCACAGAACAAATGTCAGAGCACCATTCCAGAGGACAGCCCCACCTGCTAGGTTTGAGAAAGTAGCCTCATGGAGAAAAACTGCAGAATGACGTAGCTGCTGAAGAGAAAGCAAGCAGTAAACAATCAGCATGCTTTTTAGAAACATTTAAGCTGATACATGCTGTCCATGAGTACACATCATTTTTTGAGCCTATGCAAAAATCAACTTCAGCAAAAAACAGAATCCAAGCGCGTGTAATTTCAAGTGTTCACGAGCTAGTCCTCTACACAATGCAGCACTTGAAAATGTGTCCTTAGTTAAACCCTTGAAACTTTGTGTGCAGATTCAGTGTCGAGAATCTCTAGGAAGAAACGAACTTACAAATGGAAGACAGGCAAACTAATTGCCGTTTGGGCCCTGTATACACTCACCTTACTGTCAGTCCTGTACCCCTCGGAATCTTTCCGGCATCACTGACGATTTTTCTACTGCCTAGCACAAACGCAATGTTCAGACTTCGGAGGCAATAAATCTGTTCCCAGTACAGAATCCCATGGATATCCCAGTAAAGTCACTCCACAAGTCATACACTGTTCAACGCTTTCTTCAAAGCAGAAAATGGCATTAGATGCTAGATGTGCAGCTACATGTTCCACGGAACACAAAATGATTTTGGTTTTGTTCCAACAACGATCACTGATGTTCCAACCGGAAAATTTCCAGAAGCTATCCCTCTTCTCAACCATTTTGTTGTAAAATGTGAAAGATACACAAGATAATCCATTTTAACACCGTCAGAACTTACACGGCCAGTCATACTGCAAACTGAAGTTTCACATAAGATTTTATAAAGGCCCACTCCAGCCAACACAACAGGCTCAAAGGTGACTCAAAGACCCTACACAGGACAGAGAAGTGTGGCATGGCTTTTAAAGACAGAAAATTAGGACAGAAGATAAGTGGTACCACCCATCTTGGTTTCTTCCACTCCACCCAAAGAGTTAAGGGTGTTGAAAGGCAGAAAAAGGGTCAAGTTCAAGGCAGCCAGTCTCCCACGCAACAGGAAGGGAAAGCTAACGGCCGACTTGGACAAATGCTCTCCCATACAGATTCGATTTCAGAGCTACAAATCATTGGAAAAAAGTTCAGGCAAATTTTGTCATCTTACCTAGTTCTATGTAATGAGAGACTCTGTGTTATTTAATACTCCTTTGCTTAGCATGAGCTTACAGATTTGCTACGTGCAGAACTGACAAAAAGCACGGGCACTTCCCCCTCATTCACACTA